AATTTATATGTAAAAGTCCAATATAACCAAGGAAAATACAGAAATCATTCACAATGATAGTGATTGGTAGAGTCTTCCTAGTTTTGCTAAGATAGCCCCTGGGATGGCTGAGGAATCTAACTCTTATGTATTAGCGAAGAGAGTTCTGACAGTATTCTTTTAATTTCCAGGCGTTAAGCACCCAATTGATCTAAAGGCTTTGAAAACACTTTGGGAGGCTGCAACCAGGTTTGTGGGCCTAGGAGGAGCCAAGGCAGCCTGTCAAGGCTGTGCAACCCAAACTGCAGCTGGCAATACAGAACTAGGAATACAGCATTGAAAGGATAGCGATTTGCATGAGCAGGAAATGTCATTTTTGGGTGATACTTTACCTGTCCAAAGAGACGCTGGGATCATGCAGCGAAAATAAAACACAATAAAGGGGAGGGGATTGTGAGTTGATCAGCAGCACAAGTGGACTGATTCCAAACTGGCCACAAATGAAACCAACAAGGTAGGGTGGGGCTAGGAGAGGAAGAAGCAAGAGAGCGAGCTCAGAGAGAGCTCCCCTTAGATACCTAAAAAGGTAACCTGAGGCTATGGCCATATGATCACCTGGTTCCCAGGAAAGGCTAGGAGGAAAAAAACTATACTCTTGAAGCAGGACAGAGTAAAACAAAAGCTTGAGCCCAAATGACTCCAGACTACCAGGCAAAGCAAGAGGAGAGATTTTTTATTGACGTCAAGGTGCGCCGAGCCCAAGAGCTCTAAAACTAGCTGCACACCTGAGAAAGGACTTCAAGGAGTTTTTATACACGCTAGAGTACACGTCATAAATATTTTAAGCAATTTAAACATAGGCAATAGTTTTCCTAACTAAAAATTTACAGAGCAAAAGAGAACTGTCTTGCACATTTTCCTTATTTCACACACTTTCTGTAAGGCTGGTCTCTTTCAGCAATCATTCCAGTTAGATTGCACCATCTAATGCATGCACCTGCTTTCTCAAACTTTTACTGAAAAACAGTTACTATAGCTTACAGGAATAAATGTCTTAACCAAAACCACAGACCCTGGCAGAATGTTGCAAGGTTCCTGTTGTTGGCTCTTAGTCAAGTGGGTGAGAAAAGGTGGGGGCAGATTGCAAATATCTATTTCAGATGTCTGATGACTTTTGAATCTGAGCAAAAGGATTTTAATCATAAAGCCTGTTCCCTATAGGGATTTTTCTATATGTTCCTTCACTCTGGATGGGGCATAAAGGGATGAATAATTGGGAAATTGAAAATTAATGGTCGGCAGGGAGTGACACTGTCTGAGGGTGTGAACTCACCCACTGTTCTGAGGGCAGGACCGGTGTCCGGCGGGAAAGTCGAGGGTGGTTGGCAACATTTCCTCAGACTTATGGGGGCCGACACCCTTACTGCACAGTGGGCTCCCAGTTGAGGCTGAGGTTTCAGGGCTAGTGTTACCTGGGCGGAGAGGTTTGTCTCGTCTCTCTCCTTCGACTTCTTCCGCTCCCATTTTTCACAGCTTGCACCCAGCTTCACCTCAGCCCCAACTGCATCCTCCCTGGTAGCGTGGCATGCCCTCCTCTTTATTTCCCTCTTAGTGCTCATCCTGCCCAATGGCGCTGGCCCCATTAGCCCCCCCCCTCTGTATGGGATCCACCCGTCTTCCTCCCGGTCGACTTCGCAGCGGTGTCCCAGTCGCAGTCCGCCAGATCTTCCTCCTTGAAGGGCTGGGGATCCCTGAGCCGGTCGCATTGCCAGCATTCTGAGCTCTTCTCCGAGTCCTCGAAGTCACTGCCCTGAGGCCAGCCTGTGACTTCTAGGACCTGCATCTGCGTCGGTCCATGGAGGTGACTGCTGGCCCTTCCCCCAGAGCCTTCCTCCTGGGTGGGCCACTGGCCCTCTTTGCTCCATTCAGAGCCAGATGCGTCGATCTTCTGGGGGTACATCAGGAGGCCGGGCCTGTGGGGCGCCTCCTGACAGACACCTCTGGGGGAAGAGGGTGAGACAAAGCGAAGGGTAAAGAGCCAATGCTTTGTATTAATGATCAGATACTTGACAGCGACATTATCTAGATGGGTGACAGGAAGGCTGGATCACCGCTATTGTCTGTAGTTGGGAACATCCTTTTGTATGAGGATGGCTCAGGAAGGAGAGGAATGTGTGATTCTCCAGGTGAATCTAACACATGGGGAGGGGAAGGATGCTGCGTGATAGAGAAGAGGCTTTCTCATGGCTTCTGTTCAGGAAAATCTCTCCTTTGTCAGAGCATGGCTTCTGTGTCAGGTCTGTTGCTGTCTCTGTGTGCATGGAGGTCAGGGCTGTTGGTCTGCATCCCAGTGCCTGGGGTGGATGCAGAGGTTCAGTGGCAGAAAGCTTCGAAGTCCTAGGTCCACATCTGGCTTGGTATACTTTCTGGGCACAAGGCTCCCCTTGGCCACAGTGTACACTCCACAGTTCAGCATAGGGCACTTCACTTAGAACCAAAGCTCTGTACCATTGCCCTGGCACACACTCTTCACAGTCCAACAAAGGAGTCCTATTAAAGAACCTCTAGTAATGCCATCGGAAGTGGCTGCATGGCAACAAAGTTACCTATTTATAAACCTATTTGCTGCAACTCTGTACACACTTATTTGAGAACAAATCTCATTAAGTTCAAAGAGACTGGGACAAAAAATAAGCTCTTCATATCTAATCAAACATTAAGTGCCACACATGTGCAGAGTGCATTTCTTTCACACCAAGCAGTCATAGTCAGTCGTCAGACTTCGGGGGGGGAGGAGGAAATCAGGTGTAAAGGAAAATGTTACAACATTCCCGCTGCAAGGTTTTTCTGTAGCCTGCTACAAGAAGGAGCTAATCAGGACATTAGAGTAAACGCAGACCGAGCATGTATGTGAAATCACACTGTGTGCTCAGTGAAATTCAATGGTCAGGGAAGATTCGAGGGAGCAGGGCAGATTGGGAGGGGGGGCACCCCCAGAGCCCCGCGGTAGCTACAGGCCGTCTCTGCATGCCAAGAAATATTACAAATGGGGACGGAAAAAGCAAGAGAGAGCAATCCAGCCCTTGTGTGGCAGCTGGAGACCCAGAAGTCTTCAAGTGGTCAGGGGAACCAGCTGTTTCCCTCAGCCCATTTGTGCAGGAGGCTGGGAACAGGGACACGTCTCTCTTCCCCAGGGCATCTGCTTTAGGAAACAGAATTCTGGACTACTTGCAGGCTGTCGTTCCCTCCTTAGGTTGTTTAATTTGGCCAGTGATTATTTTTCTGATTGGTTAATGATCACAATCAATTTTTTTAAAAAGATCGTCACCCAAGGGACAAAGTTCGTGCTTCCAAAGCAGAACTCAATGAGCTCAGAAGAAAAGGAAACAGATTCCAGAGTTTCGTTTTTGCCAGTGAATCAGATTTTGGTTTCATTTTCTTAGAACTGCATGTTAAGTTTCCCTTTCCTCTTACAGACAGACAGAAAAACATACACTGCAGTCTGTTCCATCCGGGGAGACTATAAAAAAGGAGATCATAACAGAACCAGCAGATTTCCAGTCTTTACAGAAAGTCCATCTGTTCTTCAGGTTACTTCACAACCGATAATAACTTGGAAATCATGAGGTAAGTCAGGAATCATAAGAAATTTTGCCTTCTCGGAAATCAAAAAGAACTGCTGCCTTCTTGTTTATATGCTTTATCTAATACTTGGGGTGACCCCAAGTAAAAGAGTCCTTACATAGCTGAATGTCGCTGTTACCTAACAAAGGAGGGAATCCTGAAAACCCTGCATCAGTAAGGATGTCATCCTCCAGGTGGGGCCTGGGGATCTCCCAGAATTACAGCTTCTTTCCAGACTACAGAGGTCAGTTCCTCTGAAGAAAATGGATGCTTTAAAGGGTGGACTCTATGGTATTGTACCCCACTGGGGTTGCTTCCCTCCCCAGGCTCCACCCCAAAATCTCCAGGGGTTTCCCAAACTGCAGCTGGCAACCCTATAAACCAGTGGCCGGGGGTGGGGGAAGGAACCTAGTAACCTTAACCGGTTCCTGGATGCAGTTTTGGAGTGAATGTGAGCTGATAAACTGAAGCTTACTCTGAGCAAGATGGAACTGCTAATGATGGGCAGAAGGTCTCACCCAGGACTTAAGATGTCACCTGTTCTGGATGGGGTTGCACTGCCTTTGAAGGAACGGGTCCATAGTGTGGGGGTCCCGGTCCTACTGCTGGACAAGGAGGTGGCAGCTGTGGCCAGGAATGAATTTACTAGCCTAGACTGCAGGATTCCCTGGGCAGAAAAGATCTGGCCATTGTGGTGCATGCCCAGATTACATCTAGATTAGATTACTGCAATGATTACTAAATGATTTAGACTACTACATTTAAATTAATTAGATTATCTAAACATCTGGTAGTTGATTATTACGGCGTTGCGGGTTGCACTCAATTATCTCTGGCATTGTATCTCAGGCTTTTTTTGTGTTTTACTTCATTAGTTTTGTATGTTTTATCTCTGGGCAGGAACTTTTAATTGAGAACGTTAAGAGGTAAATACCTTTGTTAGATTATTTAGAAGGCAGCACCCCTAGCTGGAGTCTTGGTGGATTTCAGAAGTATTTTATAGAGTTTCACTGTGTGGATGCAACCCAATCATTTTGGTTTTGTTATATTATTTTTAATCATTGATTTTAAATAAAATGAATATAATTAAGTAGGGGTTTATTTAGTAATTATAACTTTATTTATCTGCTATAACCAAGCTTTACTATGTATTATATACTAGGAAGAAGGCTCGCTGCAGAATGAAATGCAACAAGCTCTAGTAAGAGGGCCTGGGAGAGTGCAGTAGCCTGCATTGCCCCCCCCCCCCCCCCGGCTGGCTGAGCGCCGTGGCTAGGCTGACGTTGAATGCAGGGTCAGCCATCTCCGAAGTCGGGGTCAGGCATTAGCCACCTCGTCCTCTCTTCACCTGACCTCTCCAGAAGAAGGGATGGCGGTGTCCTGGTCCCCTGGGGCCACCACCAAGTAGAGCAGTGGGCCACCACCGGTCGTGTCCTGGTTCCCGCCCATGGGGTCTGCGAGCAGGAGGGGGGGCATAACGGAGCATCTGCAGAGTGGTCTCACTGGAGGACAACAGGGCAGCCGGCAGAGGGGCACCCTCCTGGCACAGCAGCAGCCCCCGCCACTTCCTCCTCGGCCACATCTGAGTTCAGTGGTGGCTGACCGGCAGCGCTACATGGCATGGAGTGGTTCTGGAAGCGGGCCGTGGGCCGTCTCAGCGGCTCAGCCAGGTGGGAAGAGGCGGTAGCATCCTCTGCTGAAGTGCCACTGCTGCGGTCTTCTGCTCCCTCACACAGGCCTCTGGTGAGGTTTCTGAGCCGCCTGGTCCGGCCTCCCCGCAGCTGGCGAGCGCCCTCAGAGGACGGGCAGCAACGTGGCTTGGGGGCCCCAGGGTGGGCCGGATGGAGCTCCCCTGAGGCGCTTCCCAGTGACTCACCAACTTGCCCGGGCAGCCCTCGGTGTGTGAGTACCCTGCGCACACACCCCTCCACCCGGCCACAACAGATTTAAGTTTTCTGGCCTTTTGCCCCACTCCCAGCCTTTGTGGCAGTCAGTCTGGTGACCCTCCGCCCGCCGGAGGGTCCGTCCCATCGGTCAGCTGACAGCAGACTGAGACCGAGAGACTTGCCAGTGCCGCTGTGGGTGGGATTCAGCAACGCAGCCAGCCAATGGAGGTAGTGCCTTCTGATTGGCAGCTGAGGGAGTGAATTGATTTTGGCATGCATCAAATCTTGCCAGATGAAAACACAATTATTAATAAGGAGAGATTATGCCTAAAATTATGCCGTAACATTTCAATTCCAGGGATGGACACTTTCCTCAGAGAATTTCATATCATTGTCTAACAGGAAACATGGGTGACTGAAGAGATTTCTTCGGAGGGCTACATGGTATTAGTGGTTGCTGCCCCCAAAGGGGGAGAAGAGTGGGCATCCTAGGGCAGGATTGGCCTGTTTAATTTTTAATTCTGTTCATCTTGCTGGAAATACAAAAGCTCCTTATGCTTTGGGAATCCACTTGGTGTGAACTTATATACTTCCTTGGTCACACGAAAGGTGTAGAACAGGGGTGTCAAACATAAGGACTGGGGCTGAAAGTGGCCTGTTCTGGGCTCTTGCTACTGGTGAGCAACTGGGATGAGGGAGGGAAGGCAGGAGGCTGCTTGGGTAGGCGAGCAGGCACATGTGGTGAGGTGTGTGTACATGGTCGAAGCTGTCAAGAAATGGCTAGTGGGTGGGGCCAAGAGGCTGAGGTAAAATAGTGGGGGGGGGATGGAAGTGCTGGCAGAGAAAGAGGAGGTGTGGTTTTTCTCCTCCTGGCTCCTCCGACCACAGCTCAACAAGAATTGGAGAAGCCCCTACATGGGGTGGCAGAGCTGAGTGGCTGGCCCTGCCACCGCTTCACCAACTGGCTTCATTTATTTTTTTCAAATGGCAACCGTGAGGGGGTTGGCATGAGAAGGTGTGTGGAGTGGCTCTTAGCCAATGAAGTGACAGGGCCAGTGGGGAAGAGAGGAGTAAAAAAAGTAACATTTAGGTCAGATCCAACTCTCCTAAAAAAAGGAGTGTAACATCCCTCGGCAGAAGAAATATATGTGGGGAACTGAACGAGTTATTGCAGGAGCAGGATAAATGATTTTAGATTCATTTCTGAACTTTGCAATCTGTAAATCTTCATCTCTCTCCCCCCCCCTCTGTTTTCAAGTGAGGTTTCCAAGGATTCTTTACAGAGGATCCTGCTGCAGCTCGAATGCCACTTCACTTGGATGTTGCTGAAGGAGGACATCACTCCCAAGGAGCTGGAGGAAAGGATTGCAGATCAGCTTGAATTTTTATCGACCAAATCCAAAATTCAAAGTTATAACCTGCTGGCCTACATAAACCATTTGAATGGCAAGAAAGAAGCCACTCTGGAAAATTTACAGAAAGCTGAGGAGGCTGTGCAAATAGAGTGCCCAAAGGAGGTTGAAAAGGCAAGTCTTGTTACCTGGGGCAACTATGCTTGGGTGTACTACCACATGGGCCAGCTTGAAAAGGCACAAGAGTACATAAAGAAGGTGGAATGCACCTGCAAACAAAACGGAAGTGCCTCTCCTTATAAGATGAAGCTCCCACGTATCTACTGTGAAAAGGGGTGGGCACTCCTCAAATTTGGGGCAAGCTATTATGAAAAGGCCAAGGAGAGCTTTGCAAAAGCATTGGCGGAAGAGCCCCAGAACCCAGAATTTAATTCAGGCTATGCAATCACATTGTACCGTATGGAAGATTATTGTGGGAAAAAATCCTCTGCAGAAGGGTCGTCGCTGGAGCCCTTGAGACATGCGGCAAGTCTGAATCCCGATGATCCTTTTGTTGTGCCTGTCTTTGCAGTGAAACTGCAGGAAGTTGGTCAAGCTGAAGAAGGGGAAAAGTATATTAAGGAAGCCCTTGAAAAAAATCCAGACGTTCCCTATGTACTGAGGTATGCTGCCAAATTTTACAGGAAAAATGGCGATGTCATTAAATCCCTGGAGCTTTTGAAGAAGGCACTAGGGTTGACACCAAACTCCAGCTTTCTGCATCATCAGATTGGCCTTTGTTACCGAGCACAGTTCCTTGAGAAGAAAAGGGCCAGATGCCATGACAGAGAAAAGATGGAAGAGCTGATCAGATGTTGTATTTTTCACTTCCAGAAAGCGGTGGAGCACAAACTCAAGTTTGTCTATGCTTATTTGGACCTTGCCGGCATGTATGGAGAAGCAAAGCGTCTTCAGGAAGCAGAGGAAACATTTCAGAAAGTATTTGCTATGACCAGGCTAACTTGTGAAGACAAGCAGGATCTCCACTTCTCATACGGCCGCTTTCAGCAGTTTCACAAAAATTCAGAATCCGAAGCCGTGAAACACTATCTGGAAGGGCTGAAGATGGAAAAAGAATCATTTTCAAGAGAAAAGTGCAAAGCGGCTTTGAAGAAACTGATAGAAAAGAAAATCAACAAAAGCCCAGGAGACGCAAAGAGCTTTGGCATCCTCGGATACATTCACCAACTCAGTGGGGAAAGGCGCCAAGCCGTTGAGTGCTACGAACGAGCCCTGGAGATGGATCCTGACAATGAAGAATACCTCAGTGCTCTCTGGGCCTTGAGACTTTCTTTGCAAAGCTAAACCTTCCCGTGTGTGCTCATGATTGTATCAAGATTCAGAACACTCTACTTGCTCTTCAGCTATTCCATCATAGTCCTTGGGGTTCCTTTGATGTAGTTGAGTTGAAGGTTACACAGCCTTTGCTAACTGAGCTTTAGGCATTACTTTGACCACGTAAATGACATATGATATCATATGGATGTATTATAACAGAAATCTTTGCATTGGGTTTTTGATATATAGACTTATGGATGGAGGGAGACCATACACCAGCATTAGAGAGTTCTGAACCCAAGTCATTTCCAAGGTAATGTTTTGTCTGACCCATTCCATAATTCCTCAGCACTTCCTACTGCTCATTGAGTACATTTATACTGATAAGTTTTCATATCATAGGGATTTCATATAGCACGATGTTTTTGATATTAATATGAACTATGAAATAAAATGTGTGTATTAAACTCATTCGTGTTTTGCTTGGATAATCCATATGCAAACAACCACATATTTCTCCCTAACGTATTATAAAACGTCTTGTTTCTAATTATATGTTTAGTCATGTTGTGATTATCGTTCATGGGATTTTCTGAACTTTACAGCAACAATAAGGGGTAGTTCTTTCAAAATATTTTGTTCCTTGAGAATTACTTTTTTGAGGAAAATCAGGATACATACTGAAAACATTACTGATAATTACTACTCACAAATCTTCCCTAGATAATTTCCATTGTGAATTTTACATGTAAAAGTTCAATATAACCAAGAAAAATACTGAAATTATTCACAATGGTAGTGATTGGTACAGTCTTCCTAGTTTTACTAAGGTAGCTAGCCCATGGGATGGCTGAGGAATCTAACTCTTATGTATTAGAGAGTTCTGACTGGTTTAATATAGAGTATTGCTTTAGCTTCCAGCGTTAAGTAACCGATTAATCTAAAGGCTTTGAAAACACTTTGGGAGGCTGCAACCAGGTTTGTGGGCCTAGGAGGGAGCCTCCCAAACTTGAGATTAGGCTTGCAGGGAAATGCCAGCTTTGTACACTTAAAAGGGAAACACGGCTCTTTGCTCTTTAAGGGGAAACGCCGGCTCCTGCACTTAAAAGGGAAACGCCGGCTCCTTTAAGTGATAGGGAACTGCCGTTTCTGAAGATCCGGTGCGAGGGCAGGTGGGGGGGGCGGATGTCCCCAACGTGATGTCATCACGTCGGGGATGCCACGCCCCCTCCAGGAACACCCCCAAAGTCCCCCGCTGGGGGTGGAAGATGGACTTGGCAACCCTAATTGACCCCCATCTTTCAACAGTGAGTTATAAAGGCAATATCTGCAGATGAATGAAACAGAACAGAAAAATGTGAAACCAGAAATACTCTTAATTGCAATATTTTCGGTTGTTTCTCATTTATTTGCCCTCATAACGTGGCTGTAACTTCCAGAGTGGCTTTGTTGCATTGTAGTTTAGGTTGATTTAACATAACAGATTTTCTTGTACCTTCTTTTAATGCATTTGTTATGTACTGAGCCTGAACTGTACTTACCAAGGGACGTAGCTTGGGGATGCATAACAATAGCTATGGACCTAGAATGGACCAGTAGGTAAACAAGGATCCTAGAGTAAACCAATTGAGAAACAATGTAATGTAAATAGCCTATCCTTGGGAGTGGGGTGTGTTTGGGGTGTAACCTTTTCATGCATAAATACCCGGCTTCAGCCAGGGATTTCCAGTCTTCATTCTACTTGCTGAATCACTAATAAACTATGAGCTGATCACTATACACGTCTGAACTCAGTACATTTCAGCACTAAATATTACTTTGTTGCAGAATGATTAACACCAGACTTCATACTTTTACAACAATTAGTTTTCCTGTACACGTCTCTATAACTAGAGTACTCACTTTTTCGTTTCTGTTTCTGAGCATTTTTTCCCTCTGCTCTATATTTTTTCACCTGCATATATTTACAAGAACATATTTCATTTTCCATGTAACCCCCCTCCCAAAGTCAGTTACAACACAACAGCATAAAACAAAAAATCTCAGTTACACAAAACTACAGGAGCCGTCAATAGAATCAAAATCGCTTCTACCAATGTACATAACCGGCTTTGCTGCCATAGCTGACGATCATCTGACCTTTAAAGTGAAACATCACACATCCTTTCAGCACGAAGCATGGATTGCATGCTTGTATGTAAATTCCCAGAAGGTGGCGCTGTCACCTATATTAATGCCAGGAAGTCACTCTCCTGGTCCTGACTCCTAAACTAGCAGCATTCGTTGGTAAAGCTATGTTTGCATCAGCTGTTTTTGAACATGACACGTTCCAGAGCCTACTGGTGACAACTAATGCAGTGTGCATCATATTGCTTGTGGACTCCTTTGTCAGATTTTCTGCTCTTGCCCTTGGGAACAGTCTGTGCACTAAACAAGAAGAACTTACTGTCTTGCCATCTTCATTACCTTCAGAAAGAAGTATCGCCAAAAGAAAGTAGCTTTGTACCAAAGTTGTTTTTTTGTGTGTTGGCAATCAGCTACCCTACTTTTCCTCCCAACAGGGACCCAAAGTGGCTCACAACAAACACCCATTTAAACCATTTAAGTAAAGAAAATACAAATAAAAATGTACTTCTATCTACTTGCAACTTAAGAGAAACTTTTTCTATGTGTGAGAGAAAGGGAACTTAGCTACAGTTTGGTGCAGACATGGTTGCCAACTCTGGGTTCTGGAACACCTGGAGATTTGAGGGTGGAGCCTGAGGAGAGTGGGGCTTAGGGAGGGGAGGGACCTTGGTAGAGTCTAATGCCCTGCAGTCCACCTTCCAAAACACCTCCAGGAGAGGCAGAATAAATCTTTTAAATAAATGTTTTCTTTAGTCTGGCGATCAGTTGCAATTCCAGGAGATCTCCAGCCCCCACCTGGAGGTTAGCAACCCCAGATGCAGGTGAACAGCCAGCTTTGTTGTCACTAACTGTTAAGAGCAGCTTTTAAGAGAATAATTCTGTCTGCCTCTTCACGGTCATCTCTGCCCCATCTCCTGGGGGTATCAAGCTCAAGGGACAGATGAACCCTCAGGGACACCCCCTTCCATTTGTGGCAATCCCCCTCGGATCTAAGCCAAAGGAACAGAGGCAAGGTTCTGTATCCAACTTGCCTGTATTCCTATATTTTATTCAGGATTCAGTTGGACCGCAGGTGAAGACTGAATTGGACTTTTTCATGAAGACCTTTTAAAAAAAAATACTACTGTTTTAATATGAAGAGTCACCGGCTTTTGTCCATGTGAAGATCTTCAGAGATTTGACCTTTTATCGTTTGAAAGATAACAAACAAGGGTACAGAGGTCTGTGAACCAACCACTGAACACTTCTGCCAATTAGTTGTGATAACTGGACCCCCCCAGACCAGGACTTGTTTTTTTAAAAATTGACTTTGACCTTTAGCTGTTATCTAATGGGCAAAGTTGAATAAAGCTCTCAAAGGATCTTACGTAACATGTTATCTTGCCAAAAGCAAAACACTCACTTTAAGAAGAAGAAGAAAGACTCAAAGTTTGCATGTGAGAACTGCAGGTCCAGTTCAGCCATTCCTAGCCTATCTTATTTATATACCACCTTTCCTCCAGGGAAGTTGGGGCGACACAGATGGTTCGTCCATCATCCATTTGAAGCCTATGTGATTGGACAGACGTGATAAATTGATTGGTCCAAGGATTCCCAATGAATATAAGTGATTGGGGATTCAAACCCAGCCCCCCTTCCCCCAAAAGCCAGTATGGTGTAGTGGTTAAGAGTAGTGGCCTCTAATCTGGAGAGCTGGATTTGATTCCCTACTCCTCCACATGCAGCCAGCTGGGTGACTTTGGATCAGTCACAGTTCTCTCAGAGCTCTCTCAGCCCCACCTACCTCGCAGGGTGTCTGTTGTGGGGAGAGGGGGAGAAGGTGATTATAAGCCGCTCCAAGACACCTCCAGGTAGTGAACAGCAGGGTACAAAACCAATTCTCCTCCTCGTTCTCCTCCTCCTCCTTCAACAAACTAACCACTGCAGTGTTTCTGTACAGGTTGACTCATTGATAGTAGGACCATGCTGAAGAAGAACTCTAAAACGGGTGGGCATTAGAGTATGTGGGCATGTTGACTTCCTGGCAGTCTTGAGAATTCAGGGGTACTGGTAAAATGTGGTATGAGTCAAGAATCATTGTGTGCTGTAATGGAAGGTTTTCACTGCTACTGCATTTCTTCCCACTTCTCCAAGGAACAGGAACTGATCTGACTACAGCAAGTCAGGAGGAAGGCCGTAGCTTTCGGTTAGCAGCTGCACCTTCGAAGTATTCTACAGTCAATTACACCCCTAACTTTTCAAGAAACAAATATTTGCCCTGTCTTCTCCTTCTTAGGCCTTAGAAAGGACAGAGCAGTAGAAGAGCCTAGACAAACCCAAGCTGTGTAAAAAAAGAAAAAAAACAATCCTAAACATCCACTTTTATATGCAGACAACTCATACTCAACAGAGAGGCTCAAATAATGGTTAAAGAAAATAAGAACATTCCTTTTGGGTTTTGATTCAGATTTGGTAGGACAGCCTCCCACTTTGCCTTTCCATCCCCTTCCTGCCATCAGCTCATGGTTCATGTTTCAGAACCTTCGTTTCTTCAGAACCAAACATGCCTCTGTCACCCACGGTCACTGTTGGATAGCTTTAGGGAGTCTGTGTGAAACAGGATGGAGAGTCAAGCTAGGGCTGGGGAAACCCAGGTTCAAATCCCTGTTCAGACATGAAGCTCACTGGCCAAGGTAGCTTTGGACCTCATCCACCTCACAGGGTCGTTGTGAGGGTAAAACAAAGGAGGGGACAACATGTATGCTACGCTCAGCTGCTTGGAGGAAGGGCAGCTGTAAAAGAAAGATTCAGTCATTTACGGCTTCTTGGTTCCGGCAGTGTCCCACTCTGTCCATTGTGCCAGTTGTTCTCCTACCTTCTTGCTAATGTCATATAGCCTCTTTCTGACTTGTGCATGTGCAAAGCACCATCAAGTCACAGCTGACTTATGGCGACCCCAGCAAGAGGCTTTCAAGGCAAGTGAGAAGCAGAGGTGGTTTACTGGCGCCTTCCTCTGCAGAGTCTTCCTTGGTGGTTTCCCTTCCAACCCTGCTTCGCTTCCAAGACCTGACGAGATGGAACTCTACCATACTGCCGTCCATCCGCTTTCTTACTTAGGGCTGCCAGATGGTTTCAACAAAAATAGCTGACACCGTTGATAAAAATTTACATGTTATGGGAATTTTATTTACAGCAATTGCATGTTATGGGAAGTTTATTTCCAGCAGTCTAAACCACATTACAGTAAAGGCTTCTATTGTCATTCACTGGCAATCATACTGTTTAGCAAAATATTAAACATTCATTAT